CCCCCACCGCCCACTCGTAGTTATTTACATGAGCAGAGGCAGGATACCCACTTTGGTTCTGGGACCCTTTCCTCTGAACGTAAAGCTTTATCAGGTATGCCCGGAGAGATCCATATGCTGAGACATGAGAATCAAATTCAAGAATAACTTAACCCAGGAACCCACTGCCCTCTTCCTGCCTTCAAAGGGAGTTCTGCAAATCAGAGCAGCAAAAATCAGCTCGTACCATAGAAATACAATTTGCTATTTATAGAAACCCCCGCTTCCCAAGGGTCTCTGAGGAGATCCTCACAACGCTATCACCAGCAGAAGCCTTAAGAATACGAACAGTTAGCATTAAATGCACAAGTCAGAACCATTTTATAATAACTTAGGCACCATTCATCACAGAGTAGTAAATGACGTTTCTATTTATCCAACAGCTGTGCCCCGGTGACTGCTCAAACCACCCCAGACCCTCCCACACAGACAGACATGCAGATACAGAGAGATATTTACCATCTTCAGCACTACGTACTAATTCTTCTGGCAGATTATCTATTTTTGCTTGATCTGTGCAGGAGAAATTAACAAACGGTTAACACGGCTGGCCCTTGCCGGGAAAGAACAATGCGATTGTCCCCGAAAGCCCGCGGAGTTGGAAGCAATTAGTCAAGATGCAGTCAGGGGTGCAACCAAGATGTCTCTCCCCAAATACTTTCTCTTTAGATTAGCTACTTGAGCCAGTGCCATCGCGGGAGCTCCCGTTCCAGCCGATGCAGCTTACATCAGCACACCGCTGCACACACCGGGGTTAGAGGGTTCGCTCAGAGCAAGCAGGCGGCGGGCAGCGGCAGGCGGGGGCTGCAACGGCCTCTCTGTTCTTCTAAGAGGGTAAGATGCGAGCTGTGACTAACACCTTCCCAAACGCACGGCCACTGACAAATATTTCTGTGTGTGCATCACCATTTGTGTACGCCCCTGGGAGCCTTGCTTGGGAAGCCAACTGAAGAGATGTGACCGGGGCCCAGCTGCTAAGTGGAATCTTGGCAGGCGAGTGTGAGTGTGGGTATCGGTATTTGGAAGGGAGTGTGCAGGAATACCCATCGGCTGAGGGTCATTTTTTTTTTTTTTAACCCTACACATTCCTGAGCCCTTTAAAGCTTCACCATGGAAATGGCCCCATGTTTTACAAATAAGAGGTTTGCCAAATTGAACAATTGTTGCTAAGTTTTTTTGCCCCCACTCAGGACCCAGCATCGGGAAGAACAATCAGGGCGGCCCAACAAAGGCTCGGACTCGCCTTCTCCACAAGCATTCAGGCGGATGTGGGGGTTGGCCACCTGTTGAGGAGGCTTTGGAGGGAATTCCTACATTGGGGGGAGTTTGGAATGGGTGACCTTCAAGGTCCCTTCCAACCCTGAGATTCCAAGATCTCTGGCAGGGTTAGGACTGCATACCAAATTGGGAATACTGCCTTCGGAGCCCTGGGAATCTTTGAATTTTAGAAATTGTTTAGTGAGTGGTTTTTTCCCCTTCATTTTTTCTTTTCCTTTTAAAATTCTGACTTCTTAGTCTCAATTGCAGATGCATAAAAAGTATTCTGAACATGACAATGGTCAAGTTTTCATCATATAAGTTTGACTGTGGTTAACTTTCACTCAATAAATTTTCTCATGCCCATCCGCAATCCTGATGGTGTATCTTAGCTTAACAATAAGAACAATGCCCCCAGAAGTCATGATTTCTAAGTCCATTTGTCTAGCTCACAAGTCCCGATATTCATTATGTGTTATGTTAGTACTCAAGACACCCCTCACCCATTAAAGCAGTGGCCAGTGGAGAACAGTGTGCCTCAAGTGTTACATGTCAGGTAGTCTTTGGACTTATAGTTCCAGTATCAAAAAGAAAAGCATGAAAAGAAGGGATAAAAGAGAAAGGAAAGTCCTTAAAGCCAGGGACTAATTCATCTCCATATCATGCAAAATTCATCAGACATGCCAACACTGTCATAAATGCTCTTGACAACAGTCTGTTGATTTGGAGTCCCAGCTCTGCTGTGTGATACTAAGCAAGTTACTTTACCTCTCTGAGCTTCACTGTCCTCATCTGTAAAATGGGGATAACAGCTTGTCCCTCACAGGGTTACTTATGCCAGATAAATAAAATAATGCATGTTAAACACTTTGCCAAGTCTTGGCACATAGTACTCAATAAATGTTAGTTATTGCTACTAGAACCACTAGCTACCACAATCTTTTAAAACTCACTCAAACCAGGATTCTTCAATGCAAGGAAACCTAGTGTTCTAGTGACCAAACCTTGTGTATTATTTTAAAAGCAAAATGCCAGCCACTTTAGGGCGAGCCTCTTCGGCTCACTTGGGAAAGGTTATTCTCATCTGTTAAGGCCCCCCATAGGGGTTTCAGTGCACAACTGCATGCAGTGAGGCCACAGAGGAGCACATGAGCACGTTTAAGCTTAGATGGGGGCATAAACAGTGGGGCAAACTTTATTCTCACTTGATGAATCTGATGAAATGTCTTCTAGACTTTTGGAAGGCATTTTCCTAGCAGCACTCCTTTCCAAAGTTTTCAAAACAGGACTGGGTTCTTCTTCTGAACCTGTTATAAGACAAAACCGATGAACACTGCACAATACACAAAAAGAAACCCACCAAACTCTCAATAAGCAATGAGCATTGAAAGGGTAGGTTACAATGAAGCATTTATGCCATAAGCCTCTACACTTTTGTTTACTTTATGAAGCACTTCACAGAAGAAAATAAAATATCTTTATGTATAGCATGTCCTTTGAAAAAATAATTTTCCTGGTCAAAAAACATTTGCAAGCATAAATCATTCAGAAACAAGATTGCCACATTAATAGAAATGTGATCTCCTAGTCTTCCACACCTCTATTTTAGGCACATGATTTGTTCTGTGCCAGACTTTCAATCTTTCCACTTCAGTTCTAGCTTTTGAAGATAGCCACAAAATGGTTTTAGAAGCATTAAAAAAATTATCTGAAAACCATAGAAGGCAGGATCCAGATGCTTAACATCTGTGTATAATCGAATGCACAGATGGGTGAGTTCTCCAGATCAACAGATGTAGGCTTTTTGGGTTTCATGAGCTGGTAAAATTTCCATCAAAATACTGGGAAATGACATGAGACAGTCGACTTTTTATTTTACTAAGGTATTTTAAAAGGGGGTGGTTGTGGCTCTGTCATCTACTAATGCCTTTTCTTTATAAAAGGAGTACCAAAAAGAAAGAACAAGTGCATAACCTCCGAATATACTAGCTAAATACATATAACCTTACAAAAATAACTCTCTAGACAGTCCTTAATTGTTCTATTTTGACAGTAAAAACTCCATCAGGGATGACCCCTGGTTGGAGTACTGTCATTTATCACTGTTATATTCCCAGTGCTTAGAACAGTGGTTGGCAACAGGCACTTCAAAAATGTTTGCTAAACCAATGAATGGTTCCATTAATGAATCAATAAGTTTGGGAACCATTTCTCTAGACAATACTTTACAGAAATGCATCCCAGTTCCGCCCAATGTTAATAGGCATTCTACAGCAAATGGATTCTAGGATGAATTAGGCTTGGGATGCTCTGTGTTCAAATTTAAAAGGTTTCTCACTTCAGGCCTTCTTCGAGACTTTAATGCTAATAATGGACCCAATCCCCCAGCATTTCCCAAAGTATCTGGCCATGAAACTTTTTTTTCTAGGAGCACACAGAGGTGTTGGTTAGCTGAGAGCTGAGCCACAAGTCAGACGGGTCTGGCGCCCACCGAAATGTTGGTGCCTTTGCAGTCAGGCTCCCTTCTACTCTCACCCCACCCCGCCCACTTGCTTTAAAATAATAATATAGTTTAGAGGATATAAAACTATGACTGTACCATTTCATACCTCTTACTTGGCTCATAATTTTAAAATATCTTCTCTAGGCTCTGTCCAAGTTGTTATTTAATGTTATTTCATTGTTAGATAGGCTTTTTGCTGCTCAGCAGTTATGCTGGTATACTATAAGCACAGCTGTACACATCAGGCAGTGGTCTCCAAGGTCAGCACAAATGTGCAAGCCCTCATCCTCCTATGGGTAGCTCACTGGGGTGGTTTAGTATAAGTCTACTCCAACAACTTTAACATGCTGACTTACACTCTTGCATAGGTCTGGTTTCAGAGACTGGTATTTCACTTTCCTTTTCTTACCAGAAACATTTGTTACAGGGGCTTCAATTTGATTAATTAGGGCTAGAGATGGATTCTTTGGTCAGTTTTCAAGAGGCCCTACAGCTACCTGCCAAGGAACCTAAACCTCCGAGTCAGCTACTCCACAAAGCTTATTTATTGAGACTGAAGGGAGCTAGAAAATGACAAATCCTTTTAAATTACTAGGAAGGTGGTTAACACTAGATGTGCAACTTTGGTTAAAATGTCCTGCTAAGGAGCATCCTTTATCATTTCATCACTCTAATCAGGTAACTTCTCATTCCTAGTTGCTCCTGGGTTTCTCTGCCTAAATGCCTGTGTTGATCCGAAGAGCTAACTGAGGCAACCCCTTGTGCTTTATAGCCTGGCTGAAACCAGTGCCCGCCAATCCACTTGGATGAATGTGGTAATCGATTAAGATCTTCACCCACTTAGCCGTGGCGGGAGCCAAAGAAATTCAGCAGGCCAGGCAATGCCCTTGTGTGGAAGCAGGTGAAATCATTTGACCAAAGTCATGCTCTAGAAGGGGACGATTCTGAAGATAACTGAAAATGAGAGGGAGAGTGTGGCAACAAAAAAACCCACAGCACAAGGTATCGGAGGAAAAGAAAGTTCCAGTTTGCACTTTGTTCCTGGTATTTAGCCACTTCTGTGGTCAACTGTTGCTCCTAAAAGGGAAATCTGTGCTCATTTATGTCAATTTCTTGCCACAAATCTTACTAGAGACTTCTGTTTAGACTGCCAATTATAAAAGAAATTCTAATTATTTCCAGAAGGAAAACAGCTAGAATGTTTAGAGGTAGTTTCCAAACCCAAAAAGCTCTTTAAAAATATTTTTGAAACCTAAAAGTTCTGTTGTTGACTTGTGAGAATAAAGCAGAATTCTAAAACACTACCCTGTGGGTAAAAGGGTCTCTACGTAACTTATCTGATTCAAGACTATAAAAGGAAATGCAGTTTTTAGTGAGAAAGGCTAGGGAGAACTGAAGTGATAAGAATTTAGCACTAGGTAGGAGTGGTAAATTAATTCCAATTTCAAAAGCTCTATCAATCATCCTTTACATCATCATTCCATAAATCAACTCATTAACCAATGGGATAAGAACTTCAAAATGCTCACTGGAGGTATTTCTCCAGCTTTCTGTGTTGGAACTGATGTTTACATCTGAAAAATCAGAGTCAGAGACGCCTTCTCTTTCTTCCCCTTTCTCTTGCCTCTTACGTGGCGATGCCAGAAACAGTTTGACTTTACTGGTCTTTGTAGTGCTTTCCTCGCTGGTCAGGAGAGGGAAAGGTTGCCTATTTCTGGACATGCCAATTGTTCCAGGACCTTCTTGGAAGCCAGGCTCCTGAAAAGCCCCTTCTAGAGCCCCTGCAACCTCCCTTTCCCTCTCCCTGGGCTCTGGGCGTGTCATGGTCTCGATGATCCCTGTTTCATGGTCCACAGAAAGGGCTCCAGGGATCTGAACGTCACTCTCAGAACCACAGAGACCTACTGATAAATCAGTCACGGCTTCTCCCCTCAACACGTTATCCCGTTGGTTGACTCGAGATTTGAATCCATCGCTTTTAGCCTTCATTTTGGGGGCCTCCTGGGTTCTCCCCAGAAACCTGGCCTGCTCGGGCTCTGAGGTCTCCTTCTCAGGAGCTCCTTCCTCCACTGACACCTGGAGCTCACAAGGAGGAGCTTCGGATGCTTCTTTAAGGAGTTTCTCAAAACCAGTATCGAAAGTACTCTCAGTTACTTTTGGAGCCTCAGACTTTTTTACTGTTTCTTTTATTTCCTCAGGATGGACTTTGGAAGCAGCTGGCCTGGGCACCTCGGCACAACCTATGAACTTGGACGGAGAAAGTGTCCCTGTGCTGCTTTCAGGTTTTGAGGCGAGAGTTTCAGTTGTTTCCTTCAGCAGTTTTTCTAAGCCAGCACTGAATTCAAGGAGCTCTGATTTAGGTCGGATAATTGTTTCCCTCACAACTTCTGTCACTTCCTGCGGAAACTCTTTGCTATACCGAGCAACGGCGGAGCCGAATGAGCGGAGGGTTTGTTCTGATGGAGACACTGGGGCAGCTAAGTGAGATGCACCGGCATGAGTTTTATCAGGAACTACGGTGAAGGAATACGAATCCTTTCTGCCTGGGGCTGCAGTGTCCGCTGTGGCCGACGGTGGGATAGGTCTGCGAGAATTTTGGAGGCTACCTGCTGCCTGTGGTCCTTCAGGAAGTTCTGCTTTCCCTTCTCCAGGAACGACTTCCCTCCCAACTGGATAACTGGGCCCAGCTTCTCCAAGCAGCTTTTGCAATACAACATTTACGTCCTTCGTTGCGGATTTGGGTGGAACAATGACTTTTTCTACAGTCTCTGAAATTTCCCTTTGAGGAGATAGTGCGTTGTCCTGGGGAGCAAGAGGAGCATCGCTGGAAAAGGGCATATCTTGGGGAGAGCTGGCCACAATCCCGAAAGGACCCTTTCTGTGAAGATGAGAAGGTTGGTCCAATGGGTGAGAACCTTCTGCTGCCGCCTGAAACAAGTTTACCGCGTTTAGCTGGTGCTCACCACTTTCTGCTTGCTGGGGGACAGCTGTTTTCCCCAGAGTTTCTGGAAAGGGAGTGATCCTCTCTCTCCGAGAGGCTGACGAGTTGTGACTCCCTTCTATGCCCGTTTCAAAAACTCTGCTCTCTTCAGGCTCAGAGTTGATCCTAGGGGTGACGGCTTCCAACCTGGTTCCAGTTCCTTCCTTCAGGAGTTTCTCTGGACTAGCAGCCCAAGTGTTTGGTTTGACCTTTGGGGGAGCTACTGTTTTGTCTACCTGCTCATTAATGATGCCCTTAGGTCCTTTGGCTGCTTCCTCAGTATCAACAAAATCTGTCTTTTGAGGCCGTGTCCTAGTTTCAGAAGCGCCTGGTTCAAGCACTTGTTTTCCATGAACTTTTTCACCAGCAGGCTGGATGGCAGGTGATGAAACTTCTGAAAGTAGCTTCTGTAAACTGTCATTAAAAGCGCCTTTGTAGTCTTTAGACAAAACGCGTGTTTTCACTATGGACTCTTGAATTTCTTGGTCTGAGTAATCTTTTTCTTCCTCGAACACTGGAGTAAGCAACCATTCCATATTCTTTCGCACATTTTCCTTTGATGACTCATTTCCTGGCAGCTGATGAGTGGACTTGGTGGGTGGTTTTAATGGAAATGTGGTTTCATGTGGTAATACCTGGAGTGTGCGCTTTGAATTTAATTCCTCTATTTCCTCTGTTGCCGGAACTTTAGAGGGGCTTAGAAGTGTCTCTTTTTCATGGGTATTTTCTCCTGATGATTTGATGTCATGGAATTCTTTATGTTTCTGGCCATTAAAAGGCACAGAATTGTTCTGGCTTGTGTTGGTGGTATCCTTCCCAACATTACCCTGCCTCTTTGAGTTGGCTCCTAAGTCCCAAAACTTTCTCAAATTCTCAAATTGAGAGTGATTATAAACCTGTTCTGTACTGGACTCATTCATTTTTTCTTTTAGGGACATAACTTTAAAGTTGGGATTTGATTCATCAATTAGAAATCTGTCTTTCTCCAAAGCAGCATGTATTTCATTCCCAACATTTGAAGGACGCTGCAATGCCGGTAAAGTGATGTCTTTTCCAGAATGTAAACTGTCGGCCACTGCCAATCGTTTTACAGGCTCATTTATCTTATGCTGAAACAGAGACACTTTGCCTGGTTGGTCATCTGAAGGGTAATTTTTGGATGGACCTGATATTTGGACCCTGGTCTCTTTAGGTTTATTTGAGGAATAAAAACTGGAGAGATGAGCTGCGTGGCCATCTTCATCTAGCATCACTTGTTTGGCAGTGACTTGAATATATTCATTCTGGCCTGTAGATAAACCGTCCATGGACCTCACAGGCCGATAGGCTTTAGCAAAAGGTTGTCCCTGGCTGTGTGAAGATATGGGTTCTTTATGAGTGGACTTAGCTGCAGCTTTCTCACCTTCCCAAAAGGATATTCTGTCACTCACTCTTTTGTATTTCTCTCTTTGCACCTGGTTCTCGGGAACTTCACCAGCTTCTTGTTGTAGTTGGACCTCAGGCTTCTTCCAAGGAGATTTGTTGGCAGCCCCAGGGAGTGACTGAATATTCTCTGGCTCTGGGGAAGCATTTAGGATGTAAGCATCTCCTTCTTTGCTCTCTCTCTCTGCCTTCCTGTTGTCTTTCAAATTTGGTTCTTTGACAATTTTTGAAGAGTCAATATTTACCTCTGAGTTTCCTCTATCTTTTTCATAAACGCGAAGCTTGGCTTCTTCATCTAAGCTGCCAACATCCTTAATGTTGCATGGAACTTGGTCTGCTGCATCAGATCTGTTGAGAGCACTGTAGGGATAGTCACTGGTTGGGTGAGGGATCCCATTTCCTGCTCCTGTGCTTTTTGAAGCTTGGCTGTAGTCCACAGTTTTACTCCCTTGATTTGGACTGTAGATTTCAAATGGTTGCAATATGCCTGGACCTTCCTTGCCTTGTTGGGACAAATTAATAGATTTGGATTTGATATTTGCATTTCTGTCTTGGCGACTGCCAGAAGGCAGCACATTTCCCTCTACCTGGAACGTCGAATCAGATCCCATAGGCGTCAATTCAACTTTGGTGGATGACAGAGCCTTGGAGCCATTTTCTTTTAGACTGATATCATCTGTCACCAAGGAAACAGCAACCTGTGATTCTGAGTCTGCTTTTTCTCTGGGATCTATTCCTCCGGGATGTTGGAGAGGTGACTTATCGTCATCTAAATGAGAACTTCGGTTAAACCAGTCTAGGACTTTAGATATGGAATCATCGGTTGTCCTCCTTATCTCAGTGGCATGTGGACCAGAGCGCGAGAATGTCTTAGCTTTTGGGGCCTTGAGCAGAGGAGGCTTACCTTGCTGATTGTCTCTAGAACTGCGATCTGGCACCTGAGAAGGCTCAGGCTCAACTCGAGACAGTTCATCTGCAATACAGAAATGCTTTTCTAAATAAGAAAAGAGAATGCTTAAAGAATTATTATTCAATCACTCACAGTATCTTTTAAGAAGGCATTTTGTATCTACATGCTCCACACCACTAGCTGTTTATATCAGCATTTTTCAGGGGTTATATAAACCTTCCTCATTAAGATATTCTGCCAAAGATGCCCTATGACAGTAAAAGAAGATAAATGTAGACCCCTGGAAGTGTGGGGTGTAGAACAAATTGGGAAATTTCTTTGAAGTCTTTGGTTTATTTAAAAAATTCATGTAAATTTTGTATTCTGCTCCATGTTACATTTTATACATTAATTTTCTCTCACTCTCAAATCTTTGTTTAAAACTGACCTTCCAGAAAGATATACCATGTTGATTTTATGAATCCACCTATCCATTGGCACATTCATAAACCCTTGAGGGTTTATATCCAAGTTTGAGGAACACAGACTTAGAAGACTTCAAGAGCTGGGAAAACAACTTACAAGGAAGATTAAACAAGGAGTTCCCTCCGGAATATTAGAATGGACCAGTAAGGATAATTGCACTTCCAGGTCATACTCCTGATCTATTAAAACAGAATCTCTGAAGATGGGGCCCCGGAATCTTTACTGACAGCTGTCCCCATGACTGTCTTGCATACTGGAGGTTAAGGACCATGATCTCAAGAAGCATCTTCCTTACCCCCAATTCCCCTACTACAATTTGTGACTTAGACGTAGTCTCTATGAGCTAAATACACTAAAAGGAGGACTGGTGGAGAATGTGATCTCTACCTGATGTTGGCTAACCAATGGCTAGGAGGCTAGAGAAGAATATTTAAGTTCTTTCTAAGCCATCAAGAAAGTAGAGAGGGTCTTTTCTGAGCCTTAATCACAGGGCACAGGGTACATATAGATAAGGGAACTCAGACATTCTTCCCCTTTAGTTAAGATTCAGGTGTTTCTGTATTTCTCCCTCTTCTTTATCAATGCTTAGCTACGTAATACATGTTCCTGAAAATTATGTGAGCTAAATTTTTATGAAGTCAGCTACATTTCAAATGCATCAGGGGGCATATTAGTTAATAAAATTCTATATTTTTATTCATCAGCTCTGGTTAACTATGAAAACAATGAAGTCTTATACAACAATTGGCACATGGGTAGATATTGGTTTGCTTCCTTACCTATACTTTGCAATATTAAATAGATACAATAATTGTGAAGTTTCTTTGAGAAAGCTATAATAATTCTGTTAGTCTGTTCAACAGAAAACGACTCAATGATGAAAAAAACATTCACAAAATACTGTTACTGAAAAAAGAGGCCCGGGCAGTATAAGCACAATTTGAAATTATATTCATGCCTGAAAATTACTGAAAGGCTCTACAATTAAGTGTTAGCAATAGTTAATGCTGGGTAATGACAGCACAGATATTTGTGATGGTGAGAGGAGCCAATTTTACTTCTATCCCTTGATCCCTGGATCCCATATATTATAGTTATTGAGGTATAGCACCGTTTACCAACATTCTGTGCATCTGAAGGCATTTCTTCTTTTCAAATGTTTTACAGTGAAGGTATATTACTTTTAAAATAAGAACAGTTATTTAAAAAGTTGGATGCTGCCCGGCCAGGTGTGGCTCAGCGGTTGAGTGTCAACCTAGGATCCAGGCGATCAGGGTTCAATTCCCGGTCAGGGCACATGCCCAGTTGTGGGCTTGATCAAAGACCCTCTCATCATTGATGTTTCTGTCTCTCTCTCTCTCCTTTCTTCTCTCTGAAATCAATAAAGATATATTAAAAAAAAAAAAAAAAGTTGGATGCTGGGTAATGTTTTGTTTCCTCTAAGGAATTCTTCTTCTGTTTTGTGTTTTCTCCAGGCTGAGTGTGATATTGAACTTCCAGAAGCTCAGTGTTAAAATCAAACCCTTATGATTTGCAGAGATTTTACTTTTTTTTTTTTTGTCATTTTCTTTTTAGGTCCATTTTTTACTTTATATTTTTTGCAGGAATAAAGCAGGGCATTAATAAGCAAGCAGAACTTTGTTTATAGTCTCTGATACCAGAGGCCTATCAAAATGAGCAGAGCTGATGATGCCTTCCTCCCAGTGTTCACGGTCAGTTTCAATTTAAAAATCAGAAAGCACAAATAAGTAGTTAATAGAAAATTTCAAAGATATTCTTTGAAAGCTGGTGCAGTCTGAGAAACAGAAAAGGTTTGCCAAATTTCTTCTATGGATCATAATAAAGGAAAATACTACCAAAGAAATATCCTTCATCTTTTGAATAAACATTTAAGTAAATGTCATCCAATTATTTGCTAATAATTACTCAAACTTTAATAATTTCCTTTAATATGAGTTCCTTTATTATTTGAAGAAGCACCTGCTGAGTTTTTAATTTAAAAAAATCTGTTCTGTTCAAATGATTTTAAATGTCCAGGGGAGGGGTGGTAAAAATGTTTTGTCCTTTAAAAACTAGATTGATCTGAATAAGAATGAAACTGTAGAGCTGAGCAAAAGTGACTCAGGGTTAACTTAATACTGACTAATAAGGGAGAGTGCGAGCCGATGGGTTAGAAACCTGACTGTTGTTAACTGTAAATATTCCTAACAATAAAGAAATAATCATAGGGTTGGATGAAGACTTATTGAAGATGGAAGAGAGTACATGGAATGATTTTCACCATTGTTTCTGTTTTTTAAAACATAAGAATTATGAAGTCATCATATAAGTATGGGAAAGCCGTTTGAGGCATCCCCTGAGAGTTGTAGAATCTTCGAGAGGGAGCTAGTTAGCTATTTGGCAGAAAAAAAGCAGCATTCTTATTGCCTCTCAACTCACACCAGCTGGAAGGGAAAGTTCCTTCAGAGCTTTTAAAGGCTAAGAACAAATGGCCAGAGGGCCCGTGCAGGCCAAAGTAAGTACTCCAAGTCTACTTTCCTATCCTCTGAGGATAAGAAAATGAAGGTTCTCTTGCGATTAAAAGAGAAACCAAAGTCTGGTTAAATGGTAACTGACAAATTTGAATTAGGTAAGTAATAATATATTTACTCCATAAAATGTTATCAGTATATCTTTAATTCTTGCTCTGTATGAACACCTTGATAAACTCAAAATATGGTAATACATTTAAATAATTGATATGATTACATTTTTAGGCTATAATGGCCCAGACATTGTGCTATCTGGGTTAATTATTGGTGACTGAGGAAAACCTGCAAACCCATTAGGAGGTATACGCATTCCCCAGTGGCATCCGCCTAAATTCCAGCTGGAATGGCTAGGAGGCAAAATGCAGCTTCTACCCAGCTGGCCGGCCTAGCCATTCCAAGCCCACGGGGTCAGTGCTCACAGCCTGGCAGTGACAACTCTCTTACCAGCAGGGCTTTTGGACAATTCCGATTCAAGCCTTGACAATTCTGATGATTTAGCTTTGTATTCATTGATGGTGGGTGAAGTCTCACTGGACTGTGGTCTTGCAATTAAATCTTCTGAGGGAAAAGGCTGCCCATTCACTGGAAAATGACCAGAAGTCTTTGGCTGATGTGTTTCATTTTTTAATGCACTTGGGCTTGAGGTTGACTGAGGTAAAGGCAAAGGCTCTCTGTACTGGGAAGGTTTAGGGTCCTCCAAGAACCCATCCTTGTCCCGAACATCTTCTGCTCCATTCTTCAACCTGTCGTTTTCTAAAACACTGAACTCTCCCACTTCCCGGCCTTGGACGAGCCCAGGGCTCTGCGGGAGCTCCTCCTTCACCGCAGAGAATCTCACGTGCTTTAAGGGCTCCAGTGAGCTTGAGGAGGAGTCATCTTCTGGACAATGCTCCTTCTCAGAAATCCTCTCATGGATGGTTAGGCCAGGTGACACAAGTTTGCTTTTGGGTTCAAAGTTCTGATGCAAACGAACAGTTTCGGAGTCGGTGCTGCTGGAGCTGGAGTTGCGCTTCAGGATCCCTCTTGGAGCCCCTCTTGTGGTGAAGGAGTCTGTCCTTTGTCTAGGAAAAGACTGGTTCTCATCCTGCGTTAAATCATGTGATCTGGAGATCATTTTCCTGTCTTTAGGGATTGGAGGTTTGATATGGGATCTACTCTCTGGGACTGGAAAAGTCTGCTTTGGTTTCTCTAACTTTTGGCTTGAAATATCCAGGATAGGTGACTCTTCTTTTGACGCTGATAATTCACCTGAAAATTATAATACGTTAGGTGACACATCAAATGGAGAGTAATGTATACTTTAAAACACCTATCATAAACTTAATCCACATTTAGCAAAAGTATTAAAATATGAAAGACAATAAAGTATGTAGTATAAATAAATGCAGACCTAATTAAAAAGCCCTTAGTATGCACGAACTTCATTTAAGATTACTGTGCTTGCCCGGCTGGGCATGGCTCAGCGGTTGAGCATTGACCTAGGATCCAGGAGATAGGAGTTTGATTCCCAGTGAGGTTTGCAGGCTCGATCCCCAGTTGGGGGCATGCAGGAGGCAGCCAATCAATGACTCTCATCATTGATGTTTCTCTCTCTCTCTCCCTCTCTCTTCCTCTCTCTGAAATCAATAAAGATATATTTTTAAAAAGAAGAAAAAAAGATTACTGTGCTTTACACATACTTTGTGGTATTTATGACTCAATAAAAAAGTTTTTAAAAAAAAATTAAAAATTCCTCATGGAGGCAAAGGAAAAACACAGAAGTCACTTTAAAAAATTTATATATGGAAACCAGAAAAATGAACTTAATTAAATAAAACAAAATTCAATACCTAGTGTCAAATGTTAAAAAAAAAGGTAATATATTCCAGTGACATTTTTTTTTTAAATTCTCACCCTAGGATATTTTCTCCACTACTTTTCAGAGAATGTGTGTATGTGGGAGACAGGGAGAGAGAGGAACATTGATGCAAGAGAGACACATCTATTGGTTGCCTCCTGCATGCACCCCACCGACTGGGGCTGGGGATCGAGCCTGCAACCGAGGTGGAACCCTTTAGTCCAGGGGCTGAAGCTCTACCCACTGAGCCAAACCCGCTGGGGCTCCAGTGACTTTTTTCCTGTATAATATTTTATGCTATACAAAGTATTTACAATGGACAGGGGAAAATTTACTAACATTGCCCTGGCCAGTGTGGTTCAGTTGGTTGGAGCATCGACCCATACACCAAAAGGTTGCAGGTTCAATTCCCAGTCAAGGCACATACCTAGGTTGTGGGTTTGATCCCCAGGGTGCAAGCTGATCAATGTCTCTCTCTTTCTTTTTCTTTCTCTTCCTCTCTCTTTCTCTGTCTCCCTCCCTCCCTCCCCTTTCCTCTAAAAATCAATGACAACATATCCTCAGGTTAGGATAAAAAAAAATTTTTAAAAAGAGAGAAAATACACTTATATTAAAACAGGCAATTTAAAGTCCTAACTTCACTTTCAATTGCTAAATTTTCTACCCCTTGTCCAATCTTTAACGTTTGTGAAATTTTCCTATGGTCACTTTTGAGGAGATTAAGCTGTCTAGCATTGAATGTCCTAATGGGAAAATTTTGTAAGAGGCAGGCTTAAGTTAATGAGGTCGCAAACCTGACCTAATGCTCCCAAGGGATTGGGCTGATGGTTACAGATTAGACGATCGTGACACTGTTGAGTGGCCTTTTTCTTTTGAGGCAAACTTTTCATTTTCAAGAGAACTGTGTCTGCATACGGTAGACATCCAATAAATGCTGTCAATGAGTGACTGAATGCCTCTGGTCCAAAAATTTCCCAGTTCACTGAGGGGGAACACTAGGCTTAGAGGTTACACACGAGTGTCAGCTCCACGACTGGAATGCACAAGCCTCCAGCCTCTAAAGCTTCTGCTTCCTTCCCTCAGGCAGGAAACCAATGGGCAGAGCAGAAGAAAACCATCAGGACCTTTCACTTTCTCTAAAAAGTTATTTTAGTTAAAGGAACTCTGAGAATTTCCCTTCGACCACAGATAACACAGATAAAAATATCTAGTCCATAAAAATAATATTTACCGTCTTTTGAAGTCTGAGAGAAACCAGTCCTTCCATTTCTTGACTGCTCATTTTTGGTTTGTTGAGATAAGTCATCTTCTGGCGACTTGGAGCTATTAAATGGATTCTTCCTTTGCTGGGGGAAAAACATTGTTTATTCAACTCCTTTTAAATGTCATAACAGCAACTCAGTGTTAGCAAATGCTTCTTAGCTCCAATATTTGATAGTTTTATCCAGTAAACTCTATCTGGCATGTTTGAAAAATGTTTGTCCTGGTTCATCAGGGTAGCGTAGAATTACTATATATGTCATACAAAAAGATAAAACTGTTACATAAAATATACTCAATCCCAGAGTTCTACAATGTTAGATCAGAACCAGGCATTCAAATCTATATCTCACATTTTATAGAGGTGAAAAAAAACTTAGGCCTGGATATATCAAAGAGCTGGTCAAGGTCAAGGTAAACCTGAGACTCTAATAAGGACAGGTTCCCACCACCAGTGCTCTTTCTACCAGCAAGACTTTCATTGTGCTAGGTTAAAGCTGTACTAAATATAATTGTAATTGAGCTTTTCCATAAGGATTTAATAAAAGAGACTTATCAAAGTATCTTGAAATATTTATAGCCACTATTATGATTATCAATTCTAATGAAGAAAGGGTATCAGTAAACAGAACTTTTTAATTAATATAAGACTAAGTATCAATGTTTACTGTCCATAGTTTCATAAATTGGCAATTCCCTCCCCTAAGCAGGCCTCTAACAGAGAGTCAGGAAGCTATGAATAGGACTAACAAGCCATATTCCATAAACTTAAAAGCAGCAGCCCCCAATAGCTTCAGACTTTTTATTCCCTAGGGCAAGAAATCTGGGTCTTCAGTATGATATACCAGTAACATGGTATTCACCAACTTTCCCACCACAAGAGTGACATTGTATATTAAATAGTAAAAATTATCTGTATCTAGTACAAAAAAGTACTACAAAATTCTCTCTATATTATGGTGCTTTGATAAAATGAGAGAAATGGCATTCCCTCCAAAAATGAGACTTCCGAAATCTGAGCTCCATCTACCTTAGCTGGAAACACAGCTGAGTTCCTGGAGTTTTCCTGGGACATATCAATCACAGTGGAAGCTGGGTTTACCACGCTGGAACTGCAAAAGAAACGATAATTCAGAGAATAAACTCTCACCCTTTGAGGAAGCATAAATCATGCCTCTGAAGCCAAAAGCTATTAAGGCAGGATAGGAGAGGAAGTTCATAAGATCAATCTGGCAGGAAGGGAAAGGGAGTCGGGCCTAGAAATGATTAAGCAGTGAAGCAAAGGAAAAGGCAGACCAGAAATGCAATCCATCGGTACCAGGTACACAGGGAGTTCACAATTTAAGTTTTCAGAAATGAACTTGTCACAAAGTCAGGAGCTAACATCAGATGCAGACGAAGGTGAGCAAATGATCTCAAGGAGGGAACGCCGTTGCCGAAATATAGCTCCAAAGAATTTTAGGGCCTTGTTCCATAGGCCAGGGCCAGAATGGCAGGGTTTACTCCAACTCAGGTAGCAAATACCGAAGAGAAGACTCAGGTGACACGAGTGACTCAGCAAAGGAGCAGAAGCAGCAGGAGATCAAAGAGATTCTGTGCAGGAAGGCTGGAGGGTCTGGGCAACTTACTGAGAGAACTTTTGGCCCAACTCTCCAGGCTGGCCAGGCGAGTCCTTGTTCACAGACAAGACAAATAAGGACAAGCACAGCATCCAGAAGGTGGTGGGAGGTGAGAAGCCTGGAGATGGCTTAGAGGAGTGAGAGAGATTCTCTAGACCATGATTCCCTACTAGCAGGACCAGATGGGCCCAGAATGAAAGCAAGGTGAGAGTAAATGGAGAAAACTGAGTTGAGCAGGCTCCCTCTGGAACAGCCACTCCCTTGGCTATTGACTAAGAAGGGCAAAAGAGGGTCACAGTGACTCTGGAGGGGGAGGAAAACCACCTGTCAGACTTCCTGTTCCAGTGGCCTTGCCTGAGGCATAAGAGGTGAAGTCACTACTGGCCAAAACCACGTGCCCTATTAAACTCCACCAGTTCTCTTAGAGTCAAGAAGATGGAAAATACCTCTGCAGGTACTGGCTTTCCACCATGCAGTAAAGGAACTGGAGGCTGAGGAGGGGAGCAATTGCCTTGCCCAAGATTATTATCAAGAAAATCGTGGGCTACGTGTTCCTGCAGCTTCATTTCCTTTCTTTCCCTCTGCACTTCAACTGTTACTTTTGTGCAGAGTCAATCCCAGGAACAGGATGAAATTTTGAGGAAGCCATTCTTCCTTTTGTTACCCTCCTCATTGTTCCAGAAAGGAATTACAGCAGATGAGGCAGATGTATAGAAAACACAGCCCGATCCCATGGATGTGAGAAAGGGGAAAAAAGGATGGGAAGGGGAAGGAAGGGGAACAAGAGTAAGAACTTAAAACGGAGCCAGAATTAAGGCTAAAAGAAAAAACACCTTGCAATAGGTGGGCACAAACTTGAATCAAGTGATCTAGCAGCCAACGCGAAAAAAGAAATCTGGTTGCTGAAAGAAAGCACAGTGTCCACACAATAGAAAAACGAACAATAGCTCGGGACTAGAAAGCAATTTTTCTTGTGTGTCATTTTAAGAAGCCAGTGAGTGGAGTGAGGAACCTTATGCACAGTTTCCCAGAGGGTTTTGTATCATCTCCCTTAGTAAATAAAGCAGTCACGTAATAATCAGAGGAAGCAAGCCAACTGCTGCTGGTCAGGGGTCTCCCTGGAACACCCATCTTCTCCTGCCACCTTCTTCCTTTCCCCTTCCCCCTCGCCAAGAAGAAAGGATAAGCAGAGCCTCTAATTCTTCTTTCTGTGCTCCGGGGAAACCCAGCCCCGAGCGCACATGTTGCACATCATGTTTTCCCCTCCTTCCCAGAGATAAACCCAGTCTCTCTCATTAAACTCCATCCAGCTATGCGGTTCATGTTTACTCTGCAGCCTCACCCTGTGTATACATATCTTATCTCTCACAGTAAACTGGGAGATCCCCCAAGAGTATCTGGACTATCTTTCTATCCCTATAATGCCTTCTACAGTGCCTGGTATACAGCTGGTGAATGACTGACCAAATGAAGGCCAACTGAGCCAGCGGCAGGGAAGGCGGCAGCAGACAGGTGGCCATGTTTTATTCTGTTTTTGAAATCCATGTTATTTGCCAAGCTACAATGAAACCCATTATTTAGGTTTTAAACAAAATGTCTTTGTCCTGCTATTCAGAAAGCAAAAGGGAGGAAGAAATGAGGCATTCAGAACACATGGACAAACACTAAAATACCAGAAACAAACAGAATTCCCTGGGTTGCCTTGTAGTTGAGATAGAGGGGAAATGGGATGAGAGTGGGATACCTGGTTAGCTTAATTAAAAAAAAAAAAAATTAAAATAAGAGTCTTAGGCCTCAAGCTGTGTCCCTGAAAATACCGCTATTTCCTAGGTTAAGCTCTGGCTTTGCTTCTCTCGAAGAATACAGCAATGTTTTGCTTGCCTGTCTTTTATTGGTCAACCATCACTACAGTAATCATCTTCTCAATTGACCTTTGTGAAATCCTATGAGGTATATATCCCTCACCTCATTTTACTTGTGAGAAAACTGAGGCTTGGAGAGGTTCAATACCTTACTTGAAGTCACAAAATTAGCTGTGAAAGAGTTGGGGATTTGAACCACGTGTGTCTGACCCTGACTCCAAAGACAATCGTCATAATGGCTAGGCCACCCTGCCTCTGTTTCTTGCATTAGCAAAGCTGTGGTTTGTAGCCAGAGGACTGGAGCAAAGTCTGGGTGATTCTTCCTTCCCCGTGACTCTTACATCTGTCACTTCTTGTCCACCTATATGAGTGCCTCCTCTATTTCTGTCATGTGTATTAATCTCACATCTGACCTCTGACTTCAGAGTCCGACTCCTATAAACCATTCAGCATTCCACCACTAAGCTGCAACGGTCTAAAACACAATGGTGGCCCTGCCCTTCTTCTGCTCATTACCTTTCCCTGGATCCTCAAGGCCTGTGGGATAAAGTCTGAACTCCCCAGAAAGGAAATGGAGATGTTGCACCATCTTCCCCAAATACCCTCTCACTCCTTCTTTCTGTTGACCTTTCATGGTATACAGACATGGTATATAGACAACGTGGTCTATATACTCACTGTCCCCAAACCTCACCTGTCTCTGCTGTCTCCACTCAACTGGTCCCCCAGCTCCTCCCTCAAGTGTTTGCTCTGTTCTCTTTGCCCAAATCCCCGCTTTCATCTTCAAGCCCACTCCAAATCTCACCTCTTTTGTGATGCTGCTCTTGTGTCAGCCCAGCTGGAAGTAGGTCTCCTCATCTTAAATCTGACAGCACATTTTACTGGCATTTTAGATTTATTGGCATTTGGGAGGAATTTGCTCCCTGCCTAGCGCTATTTGTTATCATGTGATCAGATATTCTTATACAGATGTGTTATTTTTCCTAAGAGAATATAGTCTCTTTATAACCAGATACCGTGTCTTTTGTGTCTCAGAATCCCTCTCAGGAGGCAGTAGACTGTGTCCTGTATATGAAAGATATTCAATACATTCCACAAGATGGGCTTTTTAAACTTGTAAAGCATGCCAAAGTCTATTCCCTATGCTCTGTCATTTCTTCCCTCAGGCACCCTTCAGAAATTGCCTGCAATCCTAGAAGGAACACTTACACAAAAGTGTTTACTCCGTGAAGAAGATTATTAAAATATTACACTGTGATCTTGGCATTCTGATTCCCCTCCTAAAAGTGTCTGCATTTTAATGCAAGTCTTTGAAAACTAAACTAAAAACCAAACAAACTCATATCAGGCACTGTGCAGGGACTCTTGGGGGAGAGGGAGGGCTTTACAGTCTTAAAATCACGCCACACAGGCCGCTGGCCTCTCCATTTGCTTCTACGTACAGCCATCGAGTGCTTTAGCTTTCAAACTTTAAAAATCTTTTGAACCTTAACCAGCCTTTCTCTCTAAAACAACAGCACAAATCATAGACCTTCTTCTGAGGTATCTTCCAGCTTAAATATTAACAGGGTCTAGAATCACAGGCAATCCTGCAAGTGCTTTTACTCCCAAGTGTTTTGTTGCTGCTGATCTCTCCCTTTGGACCACGAGTTTCTTGGAAGCTAACGCTGCCTCTCATCCCAGCACCCAGCACTGTGCCAGCACACGCTACACTCGATGAAACTTGGACACATGAACAAACAAGTGAAGAAATGGCTCAGGGACAACTCGAGGGAACAAAATTGGGAAATATGCTATGCCAAGCCTTTCAAGCCCATCTTTTTTTAAAGCAAAATGTTACTTCTCTGGGGCTACCACACTTTGCGCTATGGTTTATCTACAGGCTTATCGAACACAGATATTCTCATCCAAGGACAAGGCACTCTGACATCACAGTGAAATTGTTCCTACTGAAACTGACTTCGTTAAAGACCCTACAGAATTAAGAAATATTCTTTTAAGAGCTCAATATAAATGGCTCTGTTGGGCAGAGGTCCAAGAAATGAAATGGTCGCATCACTGGGCTGTAATCCATCCAAGGACAAAAGATCAGACGAATTGTCCACAGATTGGCTCATCACAAAAGCAGCTCAGAACTTGCATCCAGACAGGCTTACATTACTGAAAAGTCGAATACTCCTTAGAGTGGAATGCATGTTAGATCCCTTCGAAGGAGAAGCATGCTACCAGGCAACTGAGGGACGTGAGATAGGAAGGATGTGGGAAGAGGAACCAGAAGGGGAAAGAGCTGCGAAGCTTGCAACGTGCTGGAGACACTACTGTTTTTATAGAGACCTGGGCTGGCCCTGTCTGCAGCCACGGAGCTAAGATAATATAAGGTGCCAGAGGGACCAGTCCTCAGATAGATGGTTTCAAAGGAAGAGATGAGAGTGAGAGACAGAGAGACAGAGAGACAGAGACACCAAAAGGTCAGTCCCCTTCCAGGCTCCTTCAGACCGAAGAAGCACCAATAGCAAGGACATCTAAGGCTCTGGTCAGTAGAGAGGCTACTAGACACTCAGCGTTTCCCAGAGCACCCAAACTTGTCCTACAAAATATGTCATCATAAGTAACAAAGGAGGGGCTTCTCATCCCAGAACAGGATACCTCTATGGTCAGGATGCATTACACCTCATTTGCGGGCAGGGTCCTGACCACAAGGGAAGAGCGCCTCCCATAGTTACTCTGCCCTCCCCACTTTGGCTCAGTCTTGCAGATGATCATGTACGTGCTCCACAATCATTTTTTTCTTGGCGGGGGGCCATGATGTGCTGTCAAGTGTAGTTCATGGACCAGTGCTAGTCGTGACCTGTCTGTTACTGGTTCAGAATGAGATAAGTACAGAGATTGAAAGTATGCTTTGATAACTAGAAATACATTTTTTTTAAAAAAAAAAAAAAAGCAAAATACTGGCTCTTTACCACAGTTTGTGCCAACACTGCCCACAGTCTAGCCAACCCCACCCTGCTGAAGGTCATTAACCAGAACTGTGAACATTTGGAGCTCTCCCCTTGCCACTCTGAAAGAAATCTCGTTCACGGCTCCTCTGTTCATCAGACCTCTCTCTGCTGCCTGGTGTGACAGGTGCAAACAAGGACGAGTTCCCAAAGAACACAGGTGGCCTCCAGTGGTTGAGCACATACTCGGTACTCACACTGTTTTCATTCCTCACAGGCAGAACCCGCGCCCCCCTCGAACTGCTTCCACAACAGAAAGAAGAAATCGAGCCACAGAGACCATTGGAAAACCTTCAGGAACTGTGATACCCAGTCACTGCTGCCCCACGCTCCCTGGGTCCTGGCTAAGAAAATATTGACAGGTACCGAGTCATTCTATTGAAGTTCACTTAGTCTGAAAGTACAGGCCCTAAAATACACTGAACACGCCCAGTTCCCAAAGGTTAAAGAATAGGTGAGAAATGCTGCAGGAACCCGATACTGAGTAAAGCAGTGGTTTCTGACAGGGAAAGGGGGAAGTAAACAAGGCTCGGGCTACAGCTCTGGGCGATCACCACCCACGCCACGCAATGAGCAGAGCACGCTGGGTCCATCTAACATTCTTATTCTCGCCTTCCCGGCCATCCCTCACCTATGGTATAACAACATAATTATCAGGCCACTTGGAAATTGCCAATTTTCTTTCTTCCTGAGAAATGTTAAGTGGTTCCCATACCTCATTGCATTTAATCTCACAATATCCTGGTGAGGCAGCTCTGTTCTGATTTAGAGAAGGGACCCCAAGGACTCACAAGACCCGAAAGGTCACACAAGGAATGCGGCAAACAATGGAGACACGAATTTTGGAAACTTGATAGCCTCAAATTGAGGAAGAGGGGGGAAATACCTACCAGCCCATGTGGGGTCACGAGGAAAATGAGTCGGGCTATCAGGCCCTTGAGGTGAGATGAGTTCCTGGGAGAAGGACAGCAAATCTGACCCACATAAAACTGTGCAATTAGCTAAATTGGTCTCTGAAACTCCCAAATTTTCTCCTTCTGTGGCATTTCTACCCTCTTCCCTCAGTCAGTGCTCTGGGGCCCTCCACCCCCATCAAACCTGGCTCTTAGGAGCTGCTCTCAGTTCCTTGGTGGTTGATCTAAATGACTGTGTTCTCACTCTCAGAGTTTGCATTATTTTAGGTCTCACCTCTCCCTATGGAAAGAAGGCAGGCCTTAACCCATTTAGGCGGGCTATAGGCAGCTGGTAAATGGGGTGTCACCAAGAGGAAAGGAGTAGGGTATTTTTCACACCCTTTCCTGAGCTTCTGGAAGTAGCTGTGTGTATGTGAGAGCCCACCCTTCCATTCCTTGAGCATCTACTATGTCCTATGGACTGTGTTAGGAATTCTACATTTACTAGCTAATTAAATTCTCAATAATCTTGCTAGCAAATTATTATCATTCCCATTTTACAGCTGAGGAAACAAAGGCCCGAGAAGTTAAGGCACTTCCAGTGCAAGGTCACAGAATCAGTAAGTGGCTACTGTTAAGGAGCTTTAACTTCTAGCCAACATGAACTCTACAGATACCACAAAACACTACAAATTGCCCCAGAGGAGAAACAGTGCAGCCTCCACCCATGGAAAACAAAGTGAGCCCTCTCCAACAGGGAACTGGATAAATAATGGGTACCGTAATAGAGTCAGTATTCCATTATCCATGTGGCATGACTTTATTCATATTTGACTCTGAAATGCCTTTGGATGCCTATATTACAGAACCTCTCCCTCACCCATAAATTATGTTGGAAACACCCCTGTCCTCTGGGTACTTCAGCCTTGGACCCTGACTCAGTGAGTTCCACCAGCGAATTCATCGACTTTATCCCAATTGGAGAATGAACTGAACTGTCTTCACTGAGAAGCTAAAGATAAAATGGAACTGCCCTCCCACCAAGGGGTAACAACTATACCTCCAAGGGACAAACACCAATAGGAAAGTCCTTAAGTCCCTAAAAGCTAATCATCATGACTCAAAAGGTTTGTGGTGATGTAGCCCCACAGTCAGCTACTTCATAAGGAGGTACAAATGTACATCTTAATTGGCCAGATGACAACATGTATGGAAAACACCAAAAATCAAGACTGAAACATTAGGACAGTCATCTACATCATTAAGGGGCATCTACTGAGCACCTGCTACTGAGTGCCAGGTATTCTACACACATTATCACTAATTCTCACCATAGCCTTTCCTGGTATATATCATCATTCCTATCTGCAGTTAAGAAAAGAGACTCAGAGAGTTAAATGACTTGCCCATGGTCAAATGGCTAATAACTGGCATATGCAGGATTTGAATTCATATCTGTCTAGTTCCCATGCCGGAGCATCTTCCATGGTACCAGGTTGCTATAATTTGATCATAATTCATCTCTTCCCTGAAGTGACTCATTACCCTATATTCATTTTAGAGTACCTCTTCCTTCTACCCTAAGGAAAAACTCCTTAGTACAATAAAAACCCAGCTATTGTTGGTGCTGGAAGAAATCACCACTAATATTTTAATTTTACTTCATATTCAGATTTATTAGACATTCTAGAAGCTGGGAAACAGTACTACCCAGGCTTTGTTTACATCAGGGCACAGAATTTTCTCAGACATGCCCTTCCCCATGCCCATGAGGCCAGTCTAGCATTTGCATGAATAGCCCGCTACTTTGCCCGCACAGCACAGCACAGCACAGCACAGCACAGCACGCCACGAGTCCCACATGCAGCAGCTCTCCCCGCGAGCTCCGTCTTACCTTGGGCTTGCTGGTCCCACATCTTCTTCTGGCTCTTCCACAACACCGGCTAGCTCTGGGGGAAGGAAAGCATCTTTGTTGACATTATTCACCCAGCTTTCCTTTGCCCTGTTTTCTCTGTCCTTATTCTGCTCAGCTGAAACAGGAAACAATAAAGACAGGAAGGTTATCGCTCACCTCCGTGACCTACAACTCTCATATTGGCTCTTATCACTGAAGGCTGCAACCTGAACTTCAGGCCTTCCCTGAGTGCCAAGGCAATCACTAATGTGTCTGTGTATTAGGGATCAGAATTAGATCTGCAAGAGGAGTCAGTAGTCGATTCTTTTGATGTTAGCTCCCCGTGCCCAGCAGAGTCTCCTGAGAGCAATGTGCAGGTAACTCCAGAGCCAACCGAAGCACAATTCTGACTGCCTCTAGGTGAGTCTGACCTGAATTGTGGTCAAGACTGAATGTGCATGGCAGGGGACGCTGAGGACAGGGAGTCCCCCATGGGAACATCAGCATGATCATTGCGAAGCATTTACTAAAACATTTACAATGTCCCTGACTTGAGGGTGAGCTCTGGGATACAAAGGGGAACAAATGCTTTCAGTCTAGGATGCCCTCCCCACCCACCTCCTTCACCTCCCCCCAGTATCTCCACATCCAAATTCTGCATATTCCTTAATGCCCAGTTCAGATGCCAGGACTCCACCAAACCTCTGTGCTCCCTCTCCAGGAATAACCTCTTTTTCCTCTGAACACTCAGGGCTTGATCGGCACCTCTCAGAAAATTAGCATCAACAGAGTGATAACAGTGCCATGCGTGGAGCTGAGTGCTTTTTGCATTATCCTATGAGGAGGGAGTGACTTTCCAAGTGTGCAGATCTGGAAATTGAGGATCACAGAGTTCAAGAAACTTACCTAAGGCCACATGACCATAAGTACCAGGAATACTTTCATCAGTGTTAAGAAGATGAGGCAATATAGAGGCTTCCAATTTCCAAACATACATTGCAAGGTGGTATTCCCCACAGGTCTCTTTATATTAAAAATCTAGTTTTTTCAATTGCGAAATGGAGTCCACAGTACTAACCTATACCCCTCAAGATTTCTGAAGATCCAAAGGGTTTTGAAAATCAAGAGGCCTGTGAGCAATGCATGGCACACACTAAGCAGGCAGCCCTTACCTGCAAGGAGTATGGATCTTTCTTTCAGAAAGAACGAAAGCCCAGCTCTGCCATTTGCCAGAGATCTGACCTTGGGCATGTAGAACTTTACATACCTCTTATATAGTAAATGCCTATCACATATTAGACGCTCAGAAGGTGATAGTTATTTTCCTTACTGGGTACAGGCAAGATCTAGGCAGGGGCTGTTCTCAGGGATAAAGATTTACACTGACTGGCCCAGAGTTAGAGAGAAGGCACCAGGGAAGTATTTAATGAACTCAATAGGATTCTAAAGTAGCCCTCAAAATACTGTCTTTAGAGTTTCTTAAATAATGTACTTGGTTGATTAAAGAAGTATCAGAGTCAAGGTCATTGAACGGGGAGACTAATCTCTTTCTGTCTAAGCTCTTCACCCTATTCAGAAGAAAAGGTTCTGAATCCTCAGTCAAAAAAATACAATAAAAAAAGAAGAGGTGGTAGATCCCTATGAGTCTCAACTGTCCATGCTCCTCCTCCGCACCATGGCATCTGAAGGGCTTCTTTTTACCTTCAACACCACCCTGAGTCACTCAGCCCCACCCTTACCCATCCAAATGCAGGGCAAGGACATACTGAGTTTGAGGACTACACATTATGAAAAGTGTACGTTTACATGATTTCCCTCAGCAGATTTTAGTAACGATTCTGATACTTCCCTTCTCCCAACTCCTCCTTCCCAGACAAATGCTGGCTCTAAATGCAGTAGCCACATCAACTCACCTGTGACCTGGAGCCGCTTCTTCCTCATGGATGCTCTGATGATATCTGCGCCATGGATTTTGTCTCTGTGCCTCTTGGCCTTGGCTTCGTAAAACCATTGGCCACTCATATTCTTCAGCTGCTGGTCATCCTTAATTTTTTCAGGCAAATGTCTACAAAAGGAGAAGAGCTTTACTTTGCTGAGAACCCAGAGTAAATAAATGAGTTCACTGTGACACATTTGTAAACATACAGTCAAAATGGGCTCTCGATGTCTTATAAGATTCCTCAAATCTCCCAGATGACTAACACATGCATGTTCCCCATTGACTGAGAAGTCAGTGAAGCCAAGGCCAACATTTTTTAAAAATTCAAAGAATTAATCCACGATGCCCAGATAATGCCTGAACTTTATCAAGGGCAGATCCACTTTTTGGCCCCACAGTCTTCTGTGTCCACTGTTCAAATGCAAATAAGCCAGGGAGAGATGATAATATTAAGCTTCCCTAAGCCTTGGTAATCTTATCTGTCAAAAGGGGTTAATAATAGTAACCCACCTCAGGGGGTTGCTATGAAGATTAAATTAGTTTATGCATATCAACCGCCCTCTGCACATGCCTGGCACCTAATAAACACACAATGACTAACTGGTGGGGTAGTTATCAGCTTATCAGTCCTTTCCATTTCAGTGCAATGAGTTTACCAGGGATTTTCCTGGAAGCCTGTGGGGAACAACGCATGATGTCCCTGGTTAGGGAAACGAATGCTGAAAAGGCAGGCCAGAGAATCAAGAAAGATCATTTTTATGGGGCTGGGGGTGGAGAGTGGAAGCAGAGGCAGAGGCAGAGGCAAATGCCTTTCATGTAGTTTCTGCTTTTAAGGTTTCCACAATCATTCACACTGCTGAAAAGCTAAAACCAAAAGAATAAACCAAGCACTGCCCTCCTAAAATGTCCCTAATTTACACTGGCTGGACAAATTATGTTCTGCTTCACAAGTCCTTCTGCATCTCTCTATCCGTCTCAATAAAATGAGGATCACAAAATCTCTTTTCTTATTCCTGGAGATGCACTCAGAATAAAGCGGAATAAAAGCCTTGAGGAGACTGCACTCTAGGAAGATAATGTGCTACATAAATCCCAGAAGGTTTTAGGACTGCTATTCAAGCTAATATGCAAGCTTCCTAAAGTAGCAAGTCTAAGTCTTAGCCAGAGTGTGAGCACTGTGGCCACACCAGGGTGCTGGGAGAGCTGCGAAGGAGGGTGCACACAGGCAGACGTGGGAGGGAGAAACGGGAGGGGCAGTTACCCTGGGCCTGGCAAGGCCGTTTCCTCTCTTCCAAGTGTGCCTGCAGAGTGTCTTTCCACCCAGAGTCCAACTCCTGCTGGGACTTCCTCTCCCAATTACCTAGGAAGAAGGGAGCCCATCCCAAACATGCCCAATCAGAGCCCTCAGACACACAGTCATGACAGCTGGTCACCAAATCCTGGCAGGGACAGTGTCATCACTTCGTGGTTCTGCAACACCAAAGAGGCCATGGTTTTTATTAAACGTTTGTTATGGTTACCCATTGCCTAGGTTTTCAGCAGAGCAAACTACGGCCCTGAGCTGCTGATGGAGTTTCTGCCTTCTCCTCTCTAAAAGACCAACTTTGAGTTCAAGTCCAGAAGAGAGAGGTCCTTCCAGCTTTCCCTGTTAGAGAGTGAGCCCCTAGGGCATGGCCCGTACACACTACATCTTTGCTTTGTGTCTGAAAAGCAATGGAGTGAAGGTATACTATATGAGACCCTGCCACCTGGCTCAGGCTACCTTTTTGGATTCATTTTCCAGCACTTACCCCAAGCTCCCACCTGCCAGTGCATTAGACTTCTTACTGTTCCCCAAACATCCCTTTCATGACCCCTGTAAACGTCAGAAGCAGGAAGGTGTGGCAGAAGGACTATGGGCTTTGGAGTCTCCCCAAAATCAGGTCCAAATCCTAGCTCTGGCCCTTCCTGGATGAGACCTTGGGAAGGTTACTGAACCCCTCCAAGCATTAGTCTCCTTGTCTGTAAAGATGAGGGGAAAGAAGTCCTCCTCTGCAGGGCTTCGGGGATGATTAAATGAGGCATTTACCGGGAAAGTACCTAACAGTGCCTGGATCTTGGTAAGAGGTCAATAAGTGAGGATTCTCTGTGGATGTCTTTCCCTCATGTCTCTGTCCAGCACGTTGTTCTGTGTCCTTCAGATCCAGCTGCCACACTGCCCTGCCAGGAAGCCTTCCCTGATTCCCAAGGGCAGAGTGCAGAGTGCCGCTCCCCATGCGCCCACTGCACCTCCAGGACAGAGCTCACCACACTGTGTTCCAATGATCTATCTGCACATCTGTCTCATCCGCCAATCTGTCAACTCTGCAAACTGTTTGAAGGTGAGACCCACGTTCTAATCACCTTTGCAATGCCGGCACCTAGTATAGAGCCCGGCACAGAGCTGACACCCCAGGACTGTCTGTTGAGTGAATGAACCAATGAATAAAGAAATGCTCGGCAGCCACCCAGTCTGAGTCAGGCGAGAGATAGGAGAGATCCTGCCACTGCCGGGGGCGAGTGAACCGTACTCAATCACGAGGGCCGTGCAGCCTCCTGATGAGGCAGAACAGCTCGTCTCTCAGCGGAACAGGGAAAAGCATGATGAACTATGGCATCAGTCATTCTCTTTCTGAAAGAGACCACAAACCCTCAGAGCATAAGAGCTCAATTTCTCCTCATGAGGTTTATTTACTTATTTTTGTTGTTCAACTGAAAGGCATTTTGTACGGGTCTTTGTGCAATTCTGGATTTCTCCTGCCTAAACACTGTCTGCCGGCCTCTGCCGATGCTCCTCTTCCAGGGCACAAGGGGAGTCAGGCTCACCGAAGCAGGTGGCCCCCGGGAAAGCCGGTGGTCACTACAGTAAGGAATTAAGGTTGGATTTCTGGCTCATTTCTTTTAAAGTGGCAAAAGAACAGGAAATTCTCTCGAATTCAGTAAGAGCTATTTATGTATATCTCAGCATGATAATCTGCTAGGTTTAATCAATTTATTTTTCTGTCTCGGTCATTTGAAATATTTTGTAGATGAATTCATAGGTGGGGCATCAAAGCCCAAGTTTTGTAAACATGTAGATGATGGAAATAAAAACGCCCCATTACCTAGGTGGTGCTGTTAAGATCTTCTCTACCAGCCCACGCTGCTGTCTCATTTTCCCTGAAGTCTAACCAAATTAGCATTTAATTCTCTAATCGTCGTATCGTTTAGTTGAAGTAGAAAAAGGGTAAGAGTCCTGTGACTCACTTTTTATACCTTACCATCCTCGCCCCACATGCAAGCTGTGCTTAGTAAAGAGCTGAGGGTGGGCAGGGTGCTGAACAAACACCCAGGGGCCGGGGGGCAGAAGCGAAGGCGGGAGGGGAGCACTCAGTGCAGAGGTGACACCGTCCCTCCCGCTGCCCTCCACGCAGAACATACCGGTCATCCCCGCATTTCTTCAGCTGATACATACAAAGCATCTGTGTTGTGCTGGGTCCCCTGCGTGGCACTGTACATGCATCATCTCTTTGAATCCTTACAATGTCACCATGATGTACAAAGAAGTTAGTCACCTGCAGAAGATGGCCATCTTTGGGTCCTCTGTACGTTAAAGGCCATATCTGTTCCTCTGTTCATTCACTCATTCATTAATCCCCTATCGTACACCAGGCCTATGGTTGGAACTGTGCATAAAAAAAAAATCAATCTACAGGCCTAACTGCCAGTGTAAGCTCCTGTGGTCCAGAGAGAGAGTGAGCACTTTCAGAGGAAAGCCAGGAGAGCAGCGAAGCCCCTCAGCCTGGCCTCAGCACTTTCCCCCCTTTCCTCCTAGTAATTACAAAGCACACCCCCTCTTCCAGCTATTCATCATGATTAGGCAAAGGCCTAGCATCACAGGCAGAACCTGGTTGATATTATCTAGTCCACTGTGCATAATAAAAATCAGCAGGCTGGCCAGAGAGGCTGGCGGGTCCATTCCCCAGCTTTTTGTTTAACCCCTCATCAGACTCCTTAAGACAGATGGTTAGATATGTGACTTGGAAGTAATCTTAGATGTTTATTTTGGATGTGAGAGCTGGGAGGGACTTTAGATAGTTACAAATGGCCTCAGTTTATAGATTAAAAAAATTGAGACCCAGAAATGTTAAGAGCCTTGCCCAAAGTCACACTGAACTGGGCCAGCTAGACTCCTGGCCAGTGCTCTTTGCACTACCCCATCCCGCCTCTGAGAGCCAAACATGATTTTGGTTTTGAAGATGGCTATCACATTTCCCTCTTTCTACAAAGGAATTCAACCTTTGACAGAGAATCTGAAAACCAACACATGCAAAAATGAAAATAAACTGCAACTGATCCTTATAATGGCAAGTAAGAGGCAACAAGTGTCCCTTGTGTCACAGACATATCCTAGAGCCCCACAATCTGCTGGGAGCCAGCACAGCGTGGGGGAACCACAGGCTTTGTAGTTTGATGAGCAAGTTTTCAATCTCACAGGGCACTCAACCCTTCCCCCCGACTTTCTCACTGCTGAGTGGGTTCAGCTACATTGTTAGGCGGAGGAAAGAGGGAAATGCATGTAAACCTCTGTGTACAACGTGGTTCCTTGACAAATGTTGGTTCCTCTGCCCTTTCCTTGGACAGAAAACACCACCAGAGGTCCTGGGAAGCCGTTCTTCAATGATAACTGTCTTCATATCAAAGAAACTAGGTCTTAAGGATGCAGCTGAGAATCATAAGATGTGGTCGCGGTTGAGATGGTATCTGCTATGAGAACGCCCCATCACCATAGATGTGGTTGTGTGTGCATGGGGTGGGGGACGTACATGGTGCTGGTGGCTCATAGACACACATGGGCAACGATTTCCTGCTGGCAGTGTGACGCAAAGCACAGGAAACACCACCTCTAGAGTGTGTCATTTTCAAACCATAAAAGACTAAAATTACATATGTGTACATGATTGTGCCTCTTAAAAAGTAAGAGGGGGGAGGGGATGGGAAAAGAGAAAAAGAATCCATCCTGATGTCTGCTTTGCTGCTGGTTTGTGAAATGTCTCCAGCTGGTAGTTAGGGAAGCAAGCTGGGTAGAGATGGGTGGTAGTATCTGGGCTCAGGACCTGTGGCTACACATAGAGGCAGTCGTGGTGGCAATAGTGACCTGGAACTGTCATCTTCTAACTGTAGCCCACAGACGCCACAGTGGACATTCCCTTGGGTTCAAGTCCATATTCTACCACAAACAGGTTGAGTGATTTGGGAACTGGACACTTCCCCTGCATGGCACTCATTTTATTCATCCATGAAATCAGGATGGGAGGTAACATATAGACTAAATCACCCCCAAAGTGTCTCAAATGAGCTTGGATGTGAACAATTCAAGGCACTGGAAACATGAGACACGGCAAGCAGATTCCAGTCTGAATGCCAAACCTCATCTACGACCGTCCCGAAAAGGATTCTGAGGCAGTATCTGGTTTTAATGAGGATGTTCATTAGTGATGTCCTCATGGCTCTAGGAGGGTATATTGCAAAGCCCATAGTGAATTAGCATTTAGAAGAGCAGTCTCAATATTTGTGTCATGTTTGACTTTCTAATGTTTTACTTAAGCTAATATTATAATTGTATAATTTAATTCCTAAAGCCACATACAACTAGAAGCATGACTGGGGCATTATGAAATCATGTTTAGGGGAACAAGGTTAAGATTTTAAATTTGTAATTGATAATCCATTGACTATATAAAGGCCATTACATGGCAAGTTCCTTGAGGTCTAGAATCATGTTTCAATCACCCTAGAATTATCTTCATATCATCATGCAGAGCAGTTCCCCATATTTAATAGGTTGAGTACCTATTAAGGATAGGTAAATTTCACTACATTAAATAATTGAGAGGTTTTAGAAATAACTTCCTCCTAAGTAATCAGACTACTAACCAGAGACTTCTGTCCTTTTTTAGAGGTAAGGGGGAGTGGTGAAAAGGGAATTAAAACATACTCATCACCTGTTATGAGCTAAGAAGATTAAGAATTATTTTACTTAATCCTGGCTTTAATCCTTTAACTTCGGTACTATGGTCATTCTCAGTCTCTGAGTTGAGGCTCAGAGAAGTTAAGTAACTTGTCCTACAAACCATAGTCAATCAGCGGTGAGGATAGGATTCCTGTCAGTTCTGACTCCAGAGTCCATGCAGAGAAGTTCTTCCCTTGTGTCATGATGAAACCTTACTGTTCTTCTGAAAGAATAGTAGCAGTAAACAGTATGGGGCAGAAGGAACAGCACTGGACCAAAAACTTTGCTTATTATGGCTTTGGCACTGACTAGCTATGTGACCCTGGGCAAGTCACTTCCTCTCTCTGGACTTTACCTTCTTTTTCTAGAAAGTGACTGATGTAGACCCCTAAAAATCTCCTTTCCAAAACTGTCAAGCTGTAACTCTGATGGAAGTCAAAAACAAACAGCTGGGGGATGGCAAGGAGGCTGGAAAGCAAAAGCTCACTAAATAGCATTTTCAGAAACCAAAGACCTAGCCAGGTAACTCGGTTGGTTGGAGCGTCATCCTATACACCAAAAGGTTGTTGGTTTGACCCCTGGTCAGGGCACGTAAGGGAGGCAACCAATCGATGTTTCTCTCTCTCTCTCTCCCCTTCCTCTCTGTCTAAAAATCAATAAACAAACAAACAAACAAAAAAACTCCAAGAAATCAGAGACCTAGTTCTGGTTCTATAAGCCCAAGCACAGAACAACCTCAGAATCATCCCCACAAGTCCCTTCAGTCCAAAAGCAAAGAGGGGATCAGCGCATGATTCCTCTTGTATGGAGCAGATCCTCGGTTGGGCCTCTTTCAGTGCCCACAGGCTATAGGCCTCATGCCCATCTGCTCCCCTTGAACAGCATCACTCCTCCCCCGGCCCAGGGTCCTGGACTTGCCCTTGGCCAAGTCAACATGAGGTGCTTGGACCTAATGAAAAGGTCCCCCAGAATGGTGGTGGAAGACAGGGCTTGACTCACACCAGATTCCCTATCACCCTGACCCTTCTTCCTATCAGTTCACAAAAGCAAAAACCAAGGGCACCACCAGCAGCAGCTGCTGGGGCACCATCAGAAACAGTGGACGGAAGGAGAGTCTGGAAACCCACCACGACAAAGGGGCTCAGCATTTCCGCTGCAGCTGCAGACTGGCTGGTGCCAGAGGCTACACACTCACACCCCTTACAAGGCCCAAGTAGAACTCTGCATTTCTGAGGATATTTTCATCAACTACTGCAGGTGCCCAAGGAACTCCTCCACTCTACTCCCACAGAAGCACAGAACCACATGGGATACTTGGCAGCCTGGAATTCCAGGGGCCAAGAAAATACAGAAGGTGGAGAGGACAAGTCTCTCTCCCCAGGTGGCCCGGTAGGGGAGGCGGGATTGCAGAGCACACATAATGCCATGGATGTGGAGGGAACGGAAGGGACTCGCAGCGATCCAGTATTCACGGTCCCGGCTTCCTGAAGTAGGAAGATGACCCACAGCTTTCTGCGTCTTGTCCTCTGAGAGGCTGGCGGAGTCCCCACTTCCCAGTCTTCTTTAAGAATCAGCTAATACGGGAGAAGGTGTGACTTTGGGTGGTGGGCACACAGAGCAATATACAGATCTGGCAGCATAGAAACCCACACCTGAAACCTAGACGTTCATATTAACCATTGTCACCCCAATACACTTAATTTTTTAAAAAGTACATTGGACAGTTGAAAATAAAAACTAGAAATCTTAAGAAAGTCAGTTCACAATGGTTAAGAGCCACTGCACACTTTTCATACTTTTTAGCAGGATACACACACTGCAATGATGAAAATCCCTAGGTAAAAGGTTGCATATTAGAACTAGATGAGATCCTAGAAATCCTTTCAGATTTTATCATTTGTTCTTTAAAAATACTTTACATTAAAATAATGTGTATCGCCTTGGGGGAAAAAAGAAAAAACACACACAATCAACTAATAGTTTCTCTGCGCTGCTCTTTCCCCTTACTTCTAAAAGGGGTGTAATAGGCCCGCGTGGGCAACCTCAGGGTTGCTGTGAGGAACATAAGAGGATAGCATTTATGAAAGGGCTTTATAAACTGTGAATGGGTAAAGCATTAATGTTACCAAGAGACTCCTATGGCTGATTAGTGTAAACTCCCTGCCCTCTTGAGGAAACTGCTCAAGGCACCTCACCTGCTGAGAATGGGGAGCAGTGCCCTGTCCAGGTGGCTTGTGGGAGGAGCATGACAAGTAAAGAACCCCATTCTCATGGTCTCCACTACTTACGGCCACCTCCTGTCACCATCATAGCTCAGTGCGCTACCTCACACCAGGACGGCCACCCCCTTTCCCATGGCCAGGTCCCAGGATGGCCTGTCTGCTGCTGTTTTCTCAGGAAGAGGAGGTGGAGTTAGCGAATGGGCACCTGAAGACCAGGATTCGATTCTCACTTCCGAGACCTATGGACTGTGTGAGTTTGGGCAAGTCACCTGACCTGTCTCAAAGTCAATTTCCTCACACATCAGAGCGCGTGAAGTTATATCCTGCCACATCCCTGCAACTGCGAAAGAGTGCTATGAGCTCAGAAGAAATAATGGGCGTGTAAACCCTTTGCAATTTGGTGAGCACTGTCTGTCTGTGAATTAGTAGTAGTGGTAGCCATAATCAGACACTCTGAATTTCAGCATGCTCATTTATAAAGCATCATGTTCAGTTAGGATCAGAATATGAGAAGTGGTGCAAATAAATCCATTATTCATGATCCTTGTGAGTCAGAAAATAAGAACATGGCTTATGCTCCTTTTGGAGAACTCCTGGGATGGGATCATGCAGTTAATACTATCCGACATTCAGGAGCCCTTTCACTGCCTCCAAAGCCCAAGATTACACAGGCAATAGTGGCAGGGCCTGCTCCTTCTACCACGTGGGTAAGTGAAAGTAGCAGAAATGTTGACGTGGACATTTGGGTGCCTCCCAATAAGGACAGTGTGTCAGAGCTGCCACTCCTTCTTGTGGGACACAAATGAAAAACTGGCTCCGGCAGAGCCACTTTTAATTGCTCTTGAAACCAACTCAAACATTTCTGAAAGTATGCAGAAATGTGAGTTACTTCCCAATTTATTTTCTTTTAAAAAACTGTATAAATTTTAAATGTTTCTAATTTAGTTCATAATTCCGTAAAAAGTGAATTCTGCAAAAAAGAAAAGATATAAACATGCACACACATCCATATATATGGATGTAGATGTATGTGTTTGTGTATATTTCATTTTTAACTCAGTGTTTAGTAAGTTAAAGGACTTTTGTTAGGTTTTTAATCAAGACTCTCTGGCAGGAGTCCTATGGGATCAATTGAGNGTGTTTAGTAAGTTAAAGGACTTTTGTTAGGTTTTTAATCAAGACTCTCTTTCTGGCAGGAGTCCTATGGGATCAATTGAGAGATAGATACCAAGGAGGAAAATGTTCCACCAGGAAGTAAACCTAAAATTGGAACCCATAAATTCAGGCTCCAAGTCAGAACTACCACTTATGGTTGAGAGAGAGAGAGAAAAAAAAAAAGTGTCTCGTCTTATGAACTGGTCCCCCGGCCCCCGGCCTGGGAGCCTCTCTGGCCCGTTACCTGACTCTCTCGTCTTCAGCCCTCTTCAGGGCAGCATCCCGCTGCAGGACCTTCATGATGGTCTCCTGTTCCTCTTCTGTTAGGAAGCTTAAGTCGATCATTTTGAAAGGCGTATGCAAGAATGACAGGAGCAAATCCGGCTTAAGCTTCGAAAAGCTAAACAGCTCTCCCTGTAGCCTGGGTGATTAAAAGATGCAAAAGCAAAATGAAGCAGTCTCTGGTTCAGTTCTGGAGCAGAAGTCTTGTTTTGGCTCAGCAGGAGTTTTAGGTGGCCAATGGCAAAATCCTAAGTGCCCTAGGCCCTGGGGGCAGGCGTGGTCGGAGGGGCGACAGCGGAGAAGAGGCTCTGGGAGGGAAGCCGCATTCCTTGCCATGCAGGCCTCTTGTTCCTACAGCAGCATTTCTACTCGCACCCCTTCTCTGGACCAGTCTTCAGGCACAGTTAATTCTTCGGTCCTTGTCACCGGCTCGAGAGAGTCAGCAGGATGTGAGCACCACCTACGCGGGGAATGGGGAGAAAGCAAACATCAGCGCCAGGTCATTCCTATAAGCACTGCTTTTACTACAGGACAGCAAACATGC